TGAAATTAAAGTGTTATATATATTTTTTTGTTATTTAATTATGTAAATCTGTGGTCTTAAACCGATCTAATCCGTATTTAAATGAATTGGTTCGGATTGGTTCCACGGTTTAAATAGATTAGATTGATTCTAATTTTTCATGAACCAAAGATAACGGATTGGTCATGATTTTATCCAAACCTGATCCAATTCGAACTATGCTCACCCCTAATTGGATTAACCATTGTCTTGCCCTTTTGGTGAAAAGGAAACAACCAAGATATCTGTGTAGTTGTTAGTTTTCTAAAATACTACTAAAATTTAATTGGTAAAACTAGACATTATAAAAAATAATTTTTAAAATTTTTAAAAATTACTTTTGTATAAATAAGAAAATAATATAAAAAGGATGAATGCTTTGAAATTTTCATTATGTGGTTCATTCATCTATTAAGAATGAAAGTAAATTTTGAGAATTTTTAATACCAGTGTTTATTTTTGTTAAATTAATTTTATTTTTTTTGAAAAATATTTTGAAAACATAACCAAACAGAGTGATTATTTCATTTTAATTTTTTTATTAAATATATTTAATATTAGTCTAGTTGTACAGGTATCATCGATATCTTTTTAATAGTATTAATTCTATAAAAATTGGATTAACATTTAAAAAACTATATATGTTTTATCAAAAAAATAAATAAAAAGTAAAACAAAAAAAAAATGTAGAGAGAGATGTAGGTATACAAGTGTGTGTTGTGTGAAGTGTATGCAAGGTAGAGAGAAAGAAACGTATACATATAAAAACGTGTGCATGAGGCGAGAGTAGTGTGAGTGGTGAGGACAAAATGGTAAATGTAACTCTAAATTTCACCCTTATCATTTGTTGTGTAATTTTAGATAGCGTCCCACCAAATGACAAAAGAAAAAATAAAAAATTTAACATGAGAACGGCTTCAGTAAAGCCAAACAAAATTTATGAATTACATTATCACCGAAACAATGATAACAGAAAAAAATTATTTACAAAAAAAAATTAAATCTAATTTAAATGAACAGTGAAAGTGTGGTTTCAATCCATGCTTACAATGGTGAACAGTGAAACCATGACTTTTGTAAATGAACTTGATTGGCTTAATAATATCTAAATGAATATGATTTTAAAATTATATATATGAAAAATATTATGTAAAATAAATATATGAAAAGAGGTTTTTCTCATATTATGTAAAATTTCTGAATTACACCTTCTAAACCAAAACAAAAGAAAAAAAAAAATTAACATGACAATGGCTTTAAAAGCCAATAAAATTTTATAAATCACATTATCACCAAAACAATGGCAGTAGGAACTGAAACAGTTTAAACGCTATTCTAAATAGCGTTTTATTCACAATTAAAATCACTATTTGCAATAGCGTTTTATTCAGAATTGAAATCGCTATTTGTAATAGCGTTTTATTTATTAAAGCAATCAGAAAATGAAACGCTATTCAGAATAGCGTTTTATAATTGAGGTCGGAAAGATAGCAAATGAAGCGCTATTCATAATAGCGTTTTATAATTGAGGCTAAAATCGCTATTCCAAACAGCGTTTTATTAATTAAACTCGCGATTCACAATAGCACCTTAACTATTCATCAACTTTTGGCCTCCAAACAGTTAAAGCGCGATTTGTAATAGCGCTTTAGCTTAGTTTGGGAATTCCGTCAAAACTAGGCCTAGTTTGGGAAATAAGAGGCAAAAGAGGCTTAGTTTGGGAAAAGGCCCAAGAGTTTTGCATCACTGGGATTTTGCTCAGTATCCAGTTTCCCAATTGACTAAATCATATCTGGATTCTATTTATGACCAGGTAACTGAAGATTGATAAATGTCTGTTAGACTGCTATAATATGTCTTCTTCTGTAATTCTTTGTTGATGGGTAAAAGCTGAATAATCACATGAGTAGGCAACTCAAATGAAGATTCTAATTATAGGAATTGATTTCATTGTCTCCAATTGTCAATCTTGTTCTTTTTTATATGGAATGAAAGCTACTAATAAAAATCAGCTTTGGACGATCATATACAGAATTGCAATTTTTTAGTTGACACTAGCATTGTGGCACGAAAGTGAAGTGGATTGGTCAAGATGCTGATAGCCTTGCTTGCAAATGTTTCATGGAGCTAACATCTTTTTAATTTAGTGATTTTAAAATTTCTGGCTTCAATGGCTTCTCTAAATGAATAATGCTCAGCAACTGTTGAGCATGGGAGTGTATTCTAGAGACCAAGAATAAGCAATAAATTCAGTTAATGATATTTTGGCTCATACTCCAATGAGGCCACATTCTAAATGCTATATATATGTACCAAGATAGGCATGCATATTAAATGGGCTCATGTTCAGACCTTGAAGTCCTCTCTTGATGAGCAAACTCTGGAATTACAGGTTAAAATATCAATTGGAGCTGAGGCCATCTCTAATGGTCAGTTATTTTATGGTACAGTTTGATATGTCAATTGTTTTATCTATATTACCCTTTTGGTACTAACTTAAGTTCATATGGATGTTGAGCATTGGCATTGTTTAGTTCATTTTATATGGGTGCTACACATGATTGCAATCCTTTATTTTTATTTTGGTTTTTCACTCAGTCAAACTCATAGCAAGGTCTCCGAAATTTCTTACAATCTTCGGTAGCAATTTTTGCCCCCTCTCAGAAGACCACGCGAAACTGAGGAGCATCGTCGCCACTGGCCGGTAAGATCTCCCAGCGGCAGGGTTCGAGCTCGTCGGATACGGGACAGTACCCGGCCAGGGTGACCTTGTCGGTGGAAGTGGCTACCGACCCGAACTCGAAGACCGTGACGTCGGGCGGCGGAGCTCCGGAACGGATGACCTCCACAGCGCCGTTCATACCCGGGACCTCGGATTGCTGGGGCAAAGGCTTGTCCTTCGGGACGGGTTTCTGGGTGGGTTTGCTTCCGGAGGAGGATGGAGCCTCCTTCTTTCCTCCCCACCAAGATAGAATCCCCATGTTAGTTGTGTGAATGAAGAGAGATAACGAGAAAGATATAGGGCTGACCCGAAAACTAAAACAATTGCAACCTGCTCCGATTCAAATCATAGCGGTCGATTTTGTTTGATTTTTTACTTAGTGCACGTCTGGGGGATTACAATAATAATTAAAAAGTTAAAAATTATTAAAAAATTAAAAACCAAAGAATAATAAAGGTTCCGTGGGATAGAGTTTTAAAATTATGATTTGATAATAGAGTTGTATTTTAACTTTGTGAGTTTTGAAATTATGATTTAAGTGTAAAAAATTTGTTTAGTTATGAGTTTTGAAAAGAATTTGAATTGAGTGATGTGACATATGATATTGAAAAGTGTTTTGAAAAGCGAGCGTGGAATTAATTTTCTAAAATTGTAACCAAACAACACACTCAAATTAAGGGATAAAATTAAACTTCAAAAACTCTATCAAACAGAGCAAAAATTTATGATTTTTTAACTCCTAACCAGTAACAGTTTATCCAATTGCGCAACCCGCACAAATCTAACCTATCCGCATGCATAAATAGGGCAAGTCCGGGTCTATTTTTACATTCAAAATTGGGTTTGGGTCAGATCTGAATCTACCCGCGCAAATCCACAATCCGTCTACAGATTATGTTTAAAATAAAAAAATAAAAAAAATCTCACTCATGTTGAACTAAAAAAATCTTCATTCTTTTGACTATCTCCTCTCTCTCTCTCTCTCACACACACACACACACATTTCAATCCAACATATATGTATATGCACATAAGTAATTAAGGCTTAGTCATGAACATTTGTATTAATGCAGAGCCTAGAAAGCTAGAGAAAATTGCATAATAGTAGATGAAGATTCAAATTTTTTTTATTTTTCTGTTTGTTGATTAACTTTGTACTCTCTTTTTTCCCCAGAATTATTATTGCTTTTGGTGATGGAGCACGGGTCGTTCCAGGACCAAACAACATCCACATTTTCTTTGGCTGATGAGGATCATACACTAGCAAATTCAGTCAAATTCACTCTCAATCAAGAGTCAGTCAGTTCTCTTCTAATTCTTTCGTGTTATAAATTGTGCATGTTGTTTCTAAAATCATTTGTGCACGCCATGCTAGCTCTGATTTTTGTGATTGCCCTAGTTTATATGCTCTGTTTCAAAAACATTTTTTTGTATTTGAACTGTTGTATTTGATCTTCATGTTCTAATCAGATGCTTTTCAAGCTCAGTTTCATTGTGTGCCTCTTATATGGACAGTTTAAAGGACCTTTCATAGTTCTTATTTCTTCAGTAACAATTTCATTTTTTTTTTGTTCCAACTTAGTTTTTGGGTATTTCTGTAACCATGTAGATTTATTTGTGTTTAATTTCTTCATTTAATTGGGTTATTGATGAAAATTATTTTGTAGTGTAAAATATTTGTTTTTCTATCTTCCTCTACCAACATTAAGGCCTTGTTTGTCATGTACTAAAAAAGTCAAAAAGTTAAAAAGTCACTATCCTATTTAAGTCACATCATCTTATTTAAGTCACATTACCTCTCTACCACATCACTTCAAACCCAACCCAAACCCAACCCATATTTCATAAAAAGTCAAAAAATGCACTTATTTAAAACATCCTAAACCACCCCTAAGAGTTGTAGTATGTTGAATAGCATTTTTCCCTTCGCATGACTCCTCTTAAAATCCAATCCCAAACTTCTCTATTGCTAAAACCAACACACACACAAAAAATTTGGCTCTCTGCGGTGTTTTGGTTCTCTGTCAGTAATAAAAAAAAAAGCACTTTTTGAATTGTGTGTTTTTTTGGGGGGAAAAACAAGTTCAAGATGTGGCAGGATTTGAATTATGCGGGACCTTGAAAAATGTTGTGGCATTGGCAGCAGGTTTTGGCAGTCCACTATTTGTTTCGCTTTCAAGTATTCTTTACTATGTTTTATGAGTTAATGAAATGATTTGATGTAAAATTGAATAGGTTTTTTGGATGGTTTGGAGATGGGAAATAACACAAAGGTAAGGCAAAAAAAAATCATAGGTGCTTTAAACCCATTGTTCCAAGTCCACACGCATTACCTTCTGAAAATTTTGCATTTTGACCGTTTATATGATTACTAGGCTGCAATAATGAGAATTGGTTTGAGAGAAATGAAGGTCTTTTCCAAGTTGTTGTTCTCAACTGTCAAGGATAGCACCTTTTTCGAAAGCTGTGGTGTGGCTGACCTTATAACAACTTGCTGTAAGTAGCCAGATAGATTTCTTTGCTTTCCTAGTTCTACAAATTTTGCCATCATAACATCGGTTGCTCATGATAGAAACATGCAACCTTATTATGTTGTTTCGATATGGCAGTAGGGGGAAGAAATAGGAAATGTGCGGAGGCTTTTGCTAGGAATGGTGGGAAAAGGTGTGCATCTGTTAGATCCATTTAGTGCTCAAAAACTTTGAGTAGAGATTAATCACTAATCATGTTTGGCCTCGTTGGTCTTCATCTGCAGGTCTTTTGATGAGCTTGAAGAAGAGATGTTGCAGGGCCAGAAATTACAAGTAAATACAAAAACAGTTATAGTGAAGAGTAGCATTGCTATTAGTTAAAGAATAAATAAATAATAGCAAACTGCTAGGGTTAATGTCTTGTGCTTGAATTCTTATCAAAGTAAATGTGCACAAAGAGGTCTTTTGATTTTTATTTTGGTGGTAGGGTCTGGTTGTTCTTCATTTGGGGGTTGGGGCATTCTCTGAAAATGGACCGCTTAGGCCGGGTGGGAAGGCACTGGTCAGGAATGAATATAGCTGGAACAGAGGTACTATACTATACTATACTTTATGTATATCCTTACAAGTTATATAGATGATTTGGCTTCTAAGAATTGATTTCATGTGATTGTGTGCTTATTGATCCACAAAAACAAATATGTTGTATTTGGAGATTGTGCTTATTAAACCTTATGCTAATTGCTCTATGAGAGCCATTGTAGAGTGCACTTAATTTTTAAATGCAGATTGCAATCTAGTTATCAAAACACATCAACCATATATATATATAGATTATATAAAGTGAAGAAGTAACTGAAAAATTAAATATTGAGGTGGTGAAAGGGACTTGAACCTAAGACCATTAGTTTGGTAAACAATACTTTTATTACTTGAGCAATACCAATGTAAATAACACTTTCAAGCAATAGACACGCTACATGTTTTTAATCCAAAATCAAAATTTATATTTTATAAATTTAAAAGTACATCTATCAAGTGAGCACACACCCACTAATATACACGCGTGTGTGGATTGGAATAATAGGACACTTCACTTGGTGACTTAAATTAACAACAATTTTGGGAGCTTAATATCATAAAAAATTCTTTGTTATTGAAAAGATTAAAAAATATTATTTCAGTACCCATGACCAATGTGATGAAGCCTAGTAATCATTTTTTTATTTTTTATTTTTATATACTACCAACGGAAAATTATTTAATATTCTTAAAGTATCATCGTCGCATGTGCATGTAATACTTTCGACCAATGAAGTCACATAAAAGAAGATGAATGATATTGACCTTATCTCTCACCTAACTAAACAAGTTGAGTTAGGCTAGCTTCACTCATCCCATTACTAGTACTCTTATTAACATTAAGAGCACTACATCAGTATATCGAGTCATTACTTCGAAAGTAATAAATAAATATTTATATAGAAGACTCTAGCATAGGGAGTGGACTCAAACACTTTACCTCCTACTGATGTGGCCACTTACTAAATGTTGGATTTTTGTTATGCTAAACAGTGTGTTATAGTTTACATAATTCAATGGTTTGTCAAATTAAAAGTGAGGGGCAAAAAAACAGGTGCAAAAGGGAGGGGAAATGATTCTGACTGAAGCTGTGGAAGAGAAAAACAGATCAAGTAAGAGCAACAATGGTGCTGGTGCCACAAAGAAGAACAAAATCAATCAAACCCTTAAACTATATTTTTGAAACATTAATCTTTCTGTTAGAATATCTTTTGACCAAGAAATTAAAAAAAAAATTACAATAATTCAAAAGATTTTAATGGATTTTTATTTTACATTTTTATTATGTAGTGTGAGAAACCTGTCTAGTATGACAGAACAGATGAGCAAGGCAATGCTTGATAGTGTTGGCATTGCCACCGGAACTGTGATGGCACCGGTGGTTCAGTCACAGATGGGGAAGGCTTTCTTAGCCATGGTTCCAGGTCAAGTCCTCTTGGCCTCACTCGATGCTATTAGTAAGTAATAATTCTATTATCAATACAGAAATCATTAACATATTAAAAGACACAATATACATGATTTTACAAAATTTGTTAGTAGGACCTACTCTTAAAAAAAAATCTTGTCTGCAATCCATATATGCATTTTGTATCTGATTTTTTGACCAGTTTATGTATTCTTAGATTTATTCCAGTGAGTAAAGACTACTTTAAAGTTTTGTGATTCAAAGAAAAGAATATGAAATAATCACATTGATTTATCTTGAAACTACAGACAAAGTGTTAGATGCAGCTGAAGTTGCTGAAAAACAAGCCCTCTCTGCCACCTCTGCTGCCACAACCAGAATGGTTTATGAAAGGTAAAAGACTTAATAGTGACTAAGACATGGTTTTATATAAATAACAGCAGATATTGGTGTACATTCACATTTCTGGTTACTTTACAAAAATTGGGAATAAAACACAATTACCTTTCTAAGTTGTTAGAATGAGAATTTAAAATGACTACAAAATTGGGTAATTGTGTAGTAGTTCCAGAGCACCAACTTAAAATGTAACAATTTTTCGACAAAATTTGTCCCATTGAATCAAATTTTCATAAAATCAATTTGTCTAGTTTATCAGCTCAATTGTTTCTCTCTTTTTTCCCAGTACAACTTGTTCTATATGAATTTTTCCAGTACTTTTTTCATTTTTTTCTCCTATTTTTCTCTCTAACTCCATTTGAATTTTCATTGCCTGGCTTTCACCATTGTTGAGCAAACAAGTTTGGAGAAAATGCAGGGGAGGCAACAGAAGATGTGCTTGCGACCGCCGGACACTATGCTGGCACTGCTTGGAATGTCTTAAAGATTATGAAAGCCATCAATCCAGCTTCATCAGTGTCCTCTGGAGTACTAAAGAGCGTAATCAAAGATAGGAAAACTTAAATCGTGTGTTGTCAATTTATGTATCTAAAACATAACATGCTAAACATTGTCTCTGATGCATCTAGCAAAAATAATCCTTCTCTAAATTGGATAAAAAATGGTTGATATATGTATTTTCTTGAATGTTCATGATTCAATTTATTTGTTGGTTTGAATAATTTTTGCAAATTATAGATTATATTGAATAAATTGGATGGATTATTATAAATTATAGGTTTATTTTGTTGGATGTTGGCAACCAAATTTTAGTTTTATTTTTTAGTTTTGGTGACTAATTGATTAGTCGGGAAAGATAAGTTATACTTTTGCTGACTAAATAAAATAGTCGGTGTATCACCAAGCACATTTGGCGACTAAATAATTAGTTGTTAAAAGTATTAATTTTGGCAACCAAAGGATTTGGTCGCGAATAGGTCTATTGTTGACTAAAGTTTTAGTTGCGCAAACATTTCTTTTGACGACAAACATGTTTGGGCATGGAATGTGACAATTGGTGACTAATTATTTTGGTCATAGAATGTGATAATTGGCGACCAAACTAAGAGGTCGCAGAATGTCACAATTGGCGACCAAAATTTTTGGTCGTGGAATGTGACAATTAGCGACCAAACTAAGAGATCGCAGAATGTCACAATTGGTGACCAACATTTTTTGTCGTGAAATGTTATAATTGGCGACCAAATTTGTTGGTCGTGGAATGTAACAATTGGCGACTAAAATATTTGGTCGGCAAAAGGTGACTTTTCGCGACCAAATTGTTTTAGCCACAAAATGGATTAGTCGTAGTAGTGATATATTTAGCGACAAAAAATTTAGTAGGCAAATCTAACTTTTCCCGACCAACTAAAATTTTGGTCGCGAATTAATTTTGCCGACCCTCAATTGGCGACCAAAGTAGCGACCAAAAAAATTGGTCGCGGATAACTTTTGCTAACCAAAAATGGACTTTTAGCGACCAAGTTTTTTGTCGGCAAACGTGTTATTTCTTGTAGTGACACCTGCATACATTTATATTTTTAGTTACATATTTAGTTGGAAAAAGCTTGGGACCCCAAAGTTAGGGACTCTCATGACTCACAAATATGTGTAATTGGTTCATGTATGTTTTTATTATTATTATTTTTCTCTTTTTTTTCCTCTCTCTCTCACATAAGATGATGTGGGGGTTGTGGGGCTAGAGTTTTTGTGAGGGTTTCAATTATTACTTTATTTAGATATCTAAAAAATATACCTACATATCTAATCATCAAAACACACCACAACAACCCTATTGCTTTACACCCGCCATACCCAACAATTCCTCTGTCACAGATGTACTACTCTCACACACAAACAAACCGAAATACACATGCAATATATGTTACTACCCATTTAACTTTATTGTTTACATTAATACAAGTATGTATGTAGGTATATCCATATAAACAATTCCTAAAACCCACCAACCACACAACACTCACAACGGCTACAAAGGAAATTAATAAAGAAAATAAGAATAAAAGGAAAGATAATGAGGGAATAACGTTGCTAATAGACATCACAAAATTGAAACAATCTTAGGCACCCTTTACGCAACCACCTTACCGTCTCTCTCCCTCTCTCCTTTCTCTCTCTCACGGCTGCTATGTTTTGAAAGTAATTAAAGAATTTAGGGTTTTTATTTCATTTATATTATTAAGATATAAATCATAAAATAATTACTTTCCTTTTTTTTAATTTATTTTATTACTCTCTCCAATAATTAAAAATATATATAACTATAAGATTGAAGTATACTTATTAATTTCTCTCCTACTTTTATTATAAAAAAATTAATAATAATAATAATAATAATAATAATAATAATATTTTAATTCAACTTAATTGAATAATAATTAAAATTTCAAATTTTACAATAGCATCAATAGGGGTAGTAGGGATAGACAATGGTAGTGGGATGGTAATGATGGTAGTCCGGTGGTGGTGGTGGTAGTGGTTGTGCCAGGTGGTAGTAAGGGAAGCGATAATAGTGCAGGTAGGATGGTACTAGTGGTAATAGGATGGTTACGATAATGGTAGTAGAATGATAGAGGTAGTTGGTAGTAGTGGTGATGGTGGTGATGGTGGTAATGGTGGTGTAGTGATTGTGAAGTAAAAGGCAGTGCTGGTGGTGGTGGTGGTGACAATAATAGTGGTGTCACGATCCAAACTCGTCTCTATAGGTTTAGCATCATGACTGGCCAGTAAATTTGAGATTACCTACAGCCTCAATAGACAAAATCAATGTCAGTATAATTTACAGGGCTTGGCGGAAGCAATATGAAACGTTTATACTATATCTTGAGTTGTGCATACATGAAAAACCTAATGTTATAGTTGTGCAACCATTCTTACATATGTATAACCATACAACAAAGTAGCCTTTAACGTTTAGTACATAAGTCAAACATTCATAGTTTTAAATTCAAAACAACCCCCAAATAACAAAACGAAAGTACAAAATAAAAAGGGTATCACAATAGGGAATTTAACTTACTTGGCTCCACTCGAGCCCAAGCTTACTCCAATCAGAGAGCTCTTCAAAATGGCTGACACAGAGGTAGACTCCAAGGCTTCCTCTAACCTTGATGCTCAGTTTGCTCACCTACATATACATATAAATAGTGAGCTAGGGCCCAATGAGTAATAACATAATAAAGGAGTTAAATGAATGAAGTTCAATAATGTTTCAATATAATTCCTATGCTAATTCTATTCACAATGATCCAATAATAGCACTATAGCAATAGTCTTTTCATATGATACATCCAATAGAGTAATAACATTTTGATATCAATGGGACCGCAAATGTCGATCAATAGGACCATGGGGGTCAATCAATGGGACCATGAGGGTCAATCAATGTTCCATGGTCATTGTGACCACGAAGGTCTAACAGTAGAGATCTTTATGTTTCGGCTATTCAATGGGTCACAGTATTGTTTCCCCCAGGCAAGGGCCAATTAATCAATGGGCCATGGTATTGTTTCCCCCCAGGCAAGGGCCTCATTATTGGATGCCACAAATACAATTCAAAAGAGAACTTCATTCATTAATAAGCAATAGCATTTCGAAAACATCAACCACATAACAATTTCGAAGATAATATAATTTGAACATATCTTTATAATGTTACTACTCACAGTAGGTCAAATCGATTCTATGCCTCGGATGTCCACTTATACAAAACACATAACAAGTACACATTGAGGTTCCATTTTGATTTAACATTTTATCTTAATTCAATTCTCTTCTCATGTGCTTCTATGTCAATTCCTTATTATAGATGTCTTAATCAATGTCTAAGATTGTTCTAATAAGCATGAGGATGCAATGATGCATTTATGAGAGCTTTTTGAAACTTGCTGAAAATAGGATATTCGCTCGAGCGCACACTTTGTCGCTCGAGCGGTCCAGCAGTATGCAAAGGGTTCACTCAAGCGCACACTTGGTCGCTCAAGCCGTCTGTAAAGATTGCAAAAAGATTGGATACTAGATTTTTATGCTCGACGGTCGCTCGAAAGTTGCTCGAGCTAAGTACTGAGCAAAAACTGGGTTCGCTCGAGTGCACACATGGTCGCTCTAGCCATTGTTCAATTGTCTGCAAAAATACTGGGAGTTTGAAATGTGTGCTCAAGCGACAATTCCATTGCTCAAGCGAACTACTCAAATTTTGGAATTTCTAGAATTGTGTTCGAAGTTCAAACTTGCAATTTAATGGTTGAAACTTTGCACGGTTGATACAAAAACATGGTAAATCATCTTAGAACATGAAAACATAGTCAATTGTAAACCAATTACTCAAAATCACGCTCCAAATTCCAAATTCAAGCTTAATCTATAAAGTTAAAACCATGCATGACATGAATTGAACTCTTTTCTTTTCAAAACTCCCATGTATGATATAGGAAGTGTTAGAACTATGGAAGATCTTCAAAAATGTCAAATATAGCTTCATGCATGTAGAAAATTCCATGGAATTCAAACTCAAATTCGTGATTCCTGCATGCATGTATACAATCATGCTCAATTCTTCCATAACTAAGACGATCCTAGCACATTCTTTCTAAATTCATGCAAACGGTCTTAAAGCTTGGTGAATTCATTTCCTATATGGATTATTTACAAGGATTAAGTGTGATTTCCAAACCTAGAGTTGAATTCAAGTGCAATCCTAGCTCAATTCTTCAAGTCTTCCACAAATGCCTTCATTCTCTCTCTCTCTCCCTCTCTCGCTCTCTCTCTCTATATATATATTGTTGTGTTCCTCTCCATCTCTCTCTAATTTCAGCTCAAAAGAGTATAAAGATGATGAACTCATAAGCTTAGGCTATATATAGAGGTTTAATAAGCTTAAGTTAATTAAGCTTGCTTAGGGTTTAATTAATTCACTTAACTCTAATTAATTCTAATAAATTATTTTAATTATTTTGATCTGAATCAAATTTCAATTAAAATTGCCATAAAATTCTAAATATTCTAATTAGCCTATTAGGCTAATCAATTTCGATTTTTGAAGCCATTAAGGCTCTCAATCTTTGTCTCCAAGTCGTCAATTCTAACAGGTATTCCATGAACAAACATATATTCACACTTAAACATAAAATTAAGCAATTAAACTCACACAAATAAATATATAAAGATAATGTACGTGTTGGGGTCATCACAATGATACTCTTTGCATCCCCTCTTCTTTATTGATTGTAGTTTTGTTCTACATTGAAGTAATCAATAAAGCTTTCTTTTGCCGATCAAAAAAAAAAAAAAAA